GATGAGGTCCATGTATATAGTCATCTTTTATGTTGTTTAAAAAAGGTATTTGAAATGAATGTCATTGGTCTTGCAAAATTCTATCATGAGATTTCCAGCATCATTTCTATCACCAAGACCATATTTTCCAACTAATGATCATCCCTCTTTGGTTCTAACCTTTGCATTCCAATTGCCAGTAATTATTGATACTTTTTGATTGCATGTTTGAACAATTTTGGACTGAAAAAGTTGGTAGAATTCTTCAATTTCATCATCACTGATTAAATTAATTTGAATAATAGTATCATTAACTGGTTTTCCTTATGGGCATATAGATATTCTCCTGTGACAGACAGCATTGTAGTTCAATATAGATGTTGAATTTTTTTTTCTTTCCAGTTTTATACTCATTGCTTCATTGCAATGATTACAATCTCCTCTGTGCATCATCATTCAACAGTATTTGCTTCTATTCCTTCTGTTTTTTGGGGGGTAGGGTTGGGGGCTGGTAGGGAGGGATTACACAAAACATTTGGAATATATAATAATGTAAACAACAGAAGGGTACATTCTGCAAACCTGCCTCCTGGCCACCAGCACTCAGTCTTTCTCTTTCCATGAATCTAGAGTCCTCAGCTGTTCTATCTCTCCATGTCCTCATCTCTGCCTCCATCTCTGGTGTCACTGACTTTCTGGATAGGGTCCCACATTCTACTTGTGTTCTTCTCCCTTGATGGTCCTAGGGTCCTCTGTTCCTGGACTGTAAAATTAACTATTTCCCCCTTTTTGTTACAAAACCTCAATTTTACAGTTGTGACTGTCCCAATTAGTCATTAATTAATTACTCACTATTGAATTATAAGAATCTTATCCTCATCTCTTTTCACCAGACCTGTCCAGAGAAGATGAAAACTATTCCGTGGGGACTCTGCATTTCTCCACAGAAAAGCTCTCTTTGATGATGAATACAATGTCATTCCTTTTAATTTATATTTATCAGCATTGTAGTCCATATGCTTGTCTGATTCAAAATGGTCAATACCAGTCCATTTCAGCTCACAAATACTTAGGATATAAGTTCCATTTCATTTTTGACAACTTCCAATTTTCCTATATTCTTACTTTGTGCATTCCATGTGCCAATTATTAATGGAAGTTTACAGCTGTTTCTTTTCATTTGGAGTTGTATCCTATCAGTGATTGAAGGTCCTAGTAGCTTTACTCCATTTACATCATCATGATCATCTCTCTATTTTGAGGAAGCAGCTCTTATCTAGTCATATTCTGAAT